CTAGGAATTAAGCCCACGAGAGGAACCCACAACCAGGCCAGGCTAGGAAGCAGGTCTTGAGCCTGTTCGGAGTTCTAGTGAGGCTGGAATATTCCTAGGGCTGACGTGGCATGCTATCATTAGATCAGCAGCTGGCATGAGTTAACGGCAGGAACGTGAGAGTAAAGGAACAATCATTGCACAACGGCCAAGACGTTACGAGAGTCCTATTCGAACTAATGTGTAATTAATAGCATTTATTGTATCTGTTTCCTTTTGAAACACTAGTTCCTTAGCCTATAAATATGACTTGTAAACCTCCTGAAAGGGGATCGAAACACTGATCAATAAGACACAGCCTTACGCTGCCATATTTTCATTTGCTTCTGTAGATTTAGCTCTCGTAGTTGGATTAAACTCCATCAGACATGGTTGAAGAAAATTCTACAAACAGATCTATCTTCACTCTTTCTGCATCAACTTCCAACACAATTATCTTTTCTTTATTCAACATTTCAATAAAGGGCTTGTTGAATCCACCTGTTGGGAATTAAAGAAACAGAGTGTTAATTCACATACCTACTAACTTTGAGGTTTGAAATAACTTAATATATCTAGAAAATAAGAATATATTCACCTTTTCGCTTCAAGGAAACTCTCACTTCAAGAGACTAAACTCGTCCTCCTCCTATATATCACCATAAATAGTTGGGTTATCTGATACTACGTATTTTAACTTCAGTCTCCCAAATATTTATGCTAAGTTAGATAAGGAATCTCTGCTGCACTCGACTCTGAAACATAGAGAGAAATAAATGTCAACACTTGTGTATTGTGCAATTAGAGCTTTGATATGGGAATGCATGAATGTGAAAACCTTCTTGCATCCACATTGCTTTTATAGATGAAAGTCCATTACAATCTTTTAGGAATTTGGAAACAATCAATAAGCTTCATTATTCCCACCATCCATTTCAACCAATAAGGTTTAAGTATTTGACTATTCCCACCACCCATTTCAACCAATAAGGTTTAAGTATTTGACTATTCCCACTAGGGTGCAAACGAGCCGAGCCCGAGTTTATGTAGGCTCAAGCTCGAGCTCGAAATATAATGTATTGGCTCGAGCTCGAGCTCGGCTCGAATGAGCTTAAAAAATCCGGGCTCGAGCTCCACTCGCAAATATTGACATGGCTCGATTCGGCTCGACTCGGCTCGATAATTTTGGTTCGTCAACTCAAATGTTACAAGTTCGATTAGCTCGAAAGTTTGGGTTCAAACTCGAGCTCAAGTATTTGCATATTTGTGCTTAGTATTTGCAAATTGAAATTTACATGCCCAACAACTAAAAGTAGAGTCAATGTTGTCCAAAATAAATAAAAAATTATCAAACCATGATGATTTAACTAAAACTAGAGTTACGAGAACAGAAAATGTAATATCTTCCGATCCTCATATACATTTACCAATCGGTATTATATATATATATATTAATTTATATTATATATATATATATATACTAATATAAATTATATTATAATTTATATTAATATTATATATATATATATATATATACACACACACACACACACATATAAAATTAGGCTCACGAGCCGAAAATTAGTAGGCTCGTTTATGGCTCGACTGCTTAACGAGCCGTCTCGAGCTCGAGTTTGACCGAACTCGATTCGAGCTTTGACCGAGCAACTCACGAGCGGCTCACGAGCGGCTCGGCTCATTTGCACCCCTAATTCCCACCACCCATTTCAGTCAATAAAGTTTAAGTATTTGACTATTCCCACCACCCATTTCAACAAAAAAGGTTTAAGTATTTGACTATTCCCACCACCCATTTCAACCAATAGAAAATTAGTATTTTAATAAAAATAAAGTATCCAATAAAAATTAAAATAAAACTTGATGTTGACATTAATTGGGGGACACTATTCCTCAAACTTCTTTTGCTTTTATATTAGAAGTGGTTTTTCAACGCGCGATGCGCGTTCGTGTAAATGCCCAAAGCCATTGCAGGCATAATAATTCACCATCATAGATTGAGTGAATCTATGATTAATATGAATACAACTCTAAAATGTAAAATGTATATTGATAGGCCATTTACTTTTCAATAACACACCCATCTACTTTACATATAGTGAAATAAGTATTGAAGAAAAAGAAGAAAAATTTCAAAAGTAATTGAGATGATTTTTCCTATTTTTAATTTGAAGTTCATTGCGTTAAAACGTCAAATAGTTATAATGTTATTTCGACATTTGAGTGCACCACGTGTGTGTATATCAGTTCAATAGATGTTAGTATGATTTTAATTGATAAACTAAACAAAGCATAAAGTCTATTTTTCTAACTTTAACATGTTAAACTGTTACATATAAGCAACATTTTTAAAAGAGTAGCTTAACAAAGAAGTTATTTATCCATACACTTCAAAAGTCAAACCAAACCATGTATCATGTGCTAATAAAGTTTAAATGAAATCTACACTATTACATTTCCAGTCTTTAAAACATTAAAGCATAAGAATAATATTTTAAATCCATTGCTTCTATCAAGGAAGTAGTTTATAAAAGAAGTCATATATGGGCTAGCATTATAATGTATATTGACACTAATAAGGGAAGTAGACTGTAATCTATTGCCTGAGAAGCCTATATATTCAAGTCTTTTTGATTGTAAATTTATTTTTTCCCACTAAAATGATTGATAATATAAATACCATTCCTTTCATGTTTATAGAAAACACAAACAGAACTCATAAAAAATTCTACATTTCAGCTAATTTAAATTCAAACAATGCTTCAAGTAAACTTTTACGTTTTTCTTTCTTGTTGAAAAATTACTTCATACAGATTAAGTGGAATGATACCAGAGAGTTCATTTAACACATCCAAAGGGGGAAAAAGGGAAAATAACTATTATCAACCCCAAAACGCCTTGTTGTCTCTTTGATGAAGAGTTTTTTTTTTTTACTTTGTAAACCTGATGCTTTTGATTGGTTTTGGTTTGAAGCCCATTACTTTCTATTAGGAATTGAGATTCTAATATCAACTTGATGCCAATTGTTTTTGTCCTAACTAACACTACATGAAAATAAGGCTAGTGAGGTAAGTAACAGACACTTTTATTTTTATCATTTTCTTACTAAGGAGTATAGTAGTAGCCATTTTAGGGCTGAAATGGAATCCCTGACCATTTCTTAATATCTGAATTTACTATATGAGAATTTTAAGAAACCATCTCTCAATATAACTGGTGATTACAGGAAATTCTTCATATGGACTCCATTTGGACATTTCAGCGAGCACATAGAAGGCAAACCAAAAGGAGGAAAAATGAAATAAAACCAGCAAGTAAATGACACTAAGTTACCGAGTTTCATATATGAACATTTAGCAAAATGTAACAATCAAAGTATTGGTACTGCATCCCTTTCATAGGCCTCCATTTGTGAAGTAGTTGAGCTATAAAAATATTTCGAAAAAAACTAACAATAAGATAAAGTTAAGAATTGCTCTAAGCCTCAAACTCCTCTAAGACAACGCTCATGTGCTCATAAAGTGAATCACTCCCGCAACTATATGAATATGAATTGTACTTGAATTTGGGAAAAAAAGTTTTACTGATAATGATAATCTCAAAGTACAAAAATAAATAAAAACATCAGCAGCCCCTATAGGAAATTTGGACAGATACAATAAAAAACAATAGATGTGGGTTACAAATTTGAATACATCCCGAACTTAAGCGAATGTGCTAAACATAAGAGAAAAGCTCTTTTAAAATTTTCAATAAATTGAAGTTAAAACCATCATTTGTGGCACTGCCTTATAAGGTCCAGTTCAGATCACTGCATAATGTGCTCTAGCATAAAAGGAACTGAAAAAGCAACATAAAGTGAAATATGAATGACTTTAGAAAGTCCGTTTGTATTAAGCAGACGGACATACCTCAGGAAATAACTCCCTCCCAACCCCAAAATACTTACATAAAGCGTAAAACCACATAGCAGTATAATTCGCGGCCAGGCAATGATTCTGATGAGAAAACACTGTAATCACTGCCATGCCCACAATCAATGAATTCCTTGCACCTTTCAATTTGAGTAAACAAGAAGAGGGAGGGTCGGGCAGAAGCAGGGTGAAAGGAAAGCACAGGAGACGGTTTAAATGTCTAATACTCGGTAGTATCTATTGATTCCAAACGTGTGAAGCTGTAGAAGACGGTTTTAACGGCAAAGCTGGCATCCTTCGCTCTTACTCTGCGTAACCGCCAAAAGGTTGAACTAAACATGCATCTAGTACAATTAGCCAAAGCACAAAAAGACACTAACATTTTTCTCATGACCATTACACCTCTAACAATATTCATGCTTATAGAAGAGTTAGATAGATTTGGTAAATAAATTTATGTGTTTAATTATTTTAAAAATTGTTTAAAGAGGTATACATTCGAAAAAGTGCATTTGCGTCTTCTCTCCTTTTAATTATAATTTTATATTGTGTTATTCTTAAGTATTGTTTGATGTAGTTTATTTTTTGTTTTTGTTTTTTCAATTACTATGTTTTAATCAGCATGTTTTTGGCAAAAATCAAAAAATAAAAAACGAACAGAAATAACTAAACCGAAAAAATCGTGATTTAAAATTTTGAAAGACCCTATTGAAATAAACTGAACTGGATTTTTTATTTTGCTTCGACATTTAGTTTTAAATAAAAACTGAGTCGTTTGAACCCAAAGAAAATGACCAAAGTCCAAATATGGTGTTATTCTGCAATCAGATATATGCGTACTTGTGACGACTATAAGAAAACAGAAAAGTACACAGAAATCTTTGATGATTAGAAGAGACAATTGCAGAGAACTAATGTACTAAAAATGAGTTAAAAGTTCATGAAATCACATGATTTTAGAAATCAATAAGAATGGACAAAAATTTGAATATGCCTAAACTTTTAACTTATAAAAGTCTATAAATATTGAATACTCCGTACATCATAACCGGATTACCACGAAAGCCCATTGAAGCGCTCACGCCTCACGACATATCGACTGGAGCAAATATCCCCACCGGCCACACAGATCCCTTTCGTTCTCTGCAAAGTGCCGACCCCCATCATCTTTCTAAATTCTAACCTTTTTATCTCTATTCTTCTCCATAATTTTTGGAGTGGCCTTCAATTCCCATAAAAGGGTCCCTGTTTTTACGGGTTCTTTTTGTGGTTGAATCATCTTTCACGAGGTAAGCAGAGAGAGTCAAACGTCTAATGTGATCAAATTTCTCATTTCTGTTTTATCTTTTCGGAAGGCAGAGTTCTGGAAATTAATATCGATGATCATCAACTATGTATTGAGACATGGTTTAAATTTACACTTTTCTGGATTTAGTCTGTTGACTTACTTGAAGTTGTTGAATCTGATGGGGGTTTTGAGATTGTTGGGAAGGAGGTACTAAAAGCTTCTTAAACCCGATCATTGAAACTTCTATGATCTTTTGATGTTGGATAAGGATAGAAGTAGAACGGAGTAAGGTTTTTGTGTATTTGGGGATGCCAATGGCGGCTGATACTGATTGTTCAAACCCATTCACCAGATCAGAAGGTAGTTATAATAAGACTAGTGTTGTGTCCCCTGCAAATGTTGAATCTCAAGAGGATTCGGATGACTGGAAGCAACTAAGTGGTAAACCTCCCCTCCATTTTCGGGTCGAGCGGCTTTCTATAAGCTCTGAGACACTTCAAGCCTCAACTGATTCGGTATGCAAATCACTTCCTTATCATAACGTTTTCCCTTCCTGTTGTGTCTATTTTCCTTCCATTGATGGCATTTGTGGCTATAACTTGTGGATACCTTTTAGTTCACATTCTACAACATTTTCTTGTATTCACGACTCAGGAGGCTTTAGGATTCCTTTCCTTTACTATTTCAAACCCTTTGTTTTCCATTTTGATCAATCGCCAAGTTTCTTTGTGTAATTTGAAAAAAGAGTGATTTATAAGTGTTATAATACACAGTCGCATATATGGAAAATGGTGCTGTGAAGAATAGGCACCTTACCGAATGCGTTATATGATTGAAGTGTCCTAAAAAAGTGAAATGTACAACCAACTAAGTCTTCGTCCTCACTGTGCCATTTAAGCACCGAAGTCATCCCTACATAATATATGATTGGTTCTCTGTTAGTCGTAACGGTTCGACTTCTGCATTAATCACATGCCATACTTGAGCAATAAAATGTTCAAAAACAAGTCTTGTTTGGTGAAATACTGTTAAATTTGTCTCATTGTTTATTTTTAAATATGAATTTCTCATAGTTTTTATAAATAAATTATGAAATATATCAATAATCACAGATGCACATTGGCAAACTTGAAAATTAAAACTGTTGCATTAAAAAACAGATGCAATATATCTTTGCTTATATAATAAGTGTCAAAGATAGTTAGTAGTCCTTTTTCCGTTATCTATTTTTCTGTCATCTATTATCTTATTAGCAAGGCATTTGAGGCTTAGTCTAGTGCACCTTTAGGTTAAAGAATCTGTTTTCCGTTGAATTAAGTGGCATATGTTTTTTTTGCCTTAGTCCTTATAAAAAAGGAAGTCAATCTTAATATCTCAGCATTGAAATAAAATATTCAAAACATGACTGCCATTTACAGAACAAATTAAGAAAGTTTTATTTAAATTATCAATACTCTAAGTTGATGCACGTGTCAATTCCAATTGCCTCTCGTAGTCTCGTGATAGCAGAATTAAAAAATTACGGATACGGAGTAATAAACAAGAAGATTAGAACCAACTCTCATTTATTAATCTATTTCAGATTAGTCATGCCAATAAATTTTGTATACAGTTTAAAAAGTATATATTAGTAACACAAAATATTTCTCAAGTGTTATATAAGTTCTAGATAGAGATAAAAGGTGAGTTTGTACAATAGTTGCCCTTGGCATATATTTGCGATCTACCCGTACAGACTAATAATTAACTTTGTTTGATAAAAAAGAAATATTCTATAATACCGTTTGGTAATACTTAAATCGGCTGTATTGGCCGATTCTGCTAAAATTTATGAAGTTTTGGCTGAAGTGGCTGGATCGGCTCGGCTTATTCTGTTGATTTCTGAAAAAATTATATTTAAAATATATTTTATTAATAAAATAAAGAAAAAATTATATGAAAACAGCTAAAGTGATCCTCTACAGTAACTTCACCCAATATAGCCAGAAAGGTAACTCCAATCTTACCTTTTCTTATTATTACACATCTCAGTGCGCGAAATCAAAAGTTGCGTGTTTGGTGAAAAAGTTGGTTGATAAGTCTGATAAGCCGAAAAACAAGACCACCAAATGGACTATGACATGAATCTCGCCAGTAAAGACTGAAAAGAAAATCGATCTCAAAAGTTATATCATTACCATAAAGTGAGAGTTGTCTACTTAGAATTTTTGCGACTTGGTTCTCCATCTAGTATCAATGACACTTTTAGTACACGACTTTCTTCTTTTCCACTTTTAGTCATTTAAATTTTGTGAGAGAGACTTTCGTACTTTTAATCTAAAATGAAAGCATGTAAACTCCTCTAATCTCCTCTTTCTGGTATTCATTCTTTACAAGACATCCAAAGAAAACCATTGGCATAATTATAAGTTAAAGGATATACATAATTCTATTTAAAAGTAATGGTACAGTGTTTATTCTGGAAAACAACACATGCTTTTATTGGTTCTTAAACTAAGTTATTTGAACTTTTGAGTGATAAGTCTGATAACAATTTAAGTGATTGTATCAACCCTTTTTTTTTGAAAATGTCAATGGTGTTTAATTTCTATTATTGTTCTTTTGAGAAAAGTATTGCAATTAGAAATGGACTTGTTAAGCATTCATATTGGGCCTTATTCGCACATAGTGCGTACACCCCGCTAGTGATTAAATATGTAAATCCAAAAAATGATTTAAAAAATACAAGTTCAGGTGATGAGTTATCATAGTGGTGTGCATTTTTCCTTGCAGTTTTTTTGTGTCTTAATTGAGAGGATTTAGGTTAATAATATGAGATGATAATTGTTGTTTGCTCTGTAAACTTGAAAGAAACTCACCAAATTCGTACTATAGAGGAGATCTTCCAAAATATGAAACACTTCATTTTCCTATTATTTTTCATTGGTTATTCTAATATGTGGCCATGGACGCATGATAAAGAATAATCAATGCCCCTCATTTTGAAGCTTCTAGAAAACATTTGATATTTTCAAGAAATAAATAACGTGATTATTAATATTGATATGATTATCACAAAAACAGTGTACAATTTTATTATTGTCAAGGATAAATTAAGAAAACTATAAGCATCGATTGCTCATTTAGTTGTTTCTTATCATGTGACCCTCAAGCACACTTCAGAAAATCTTTTGTTTCTTACCTCCTGCCATATTTTTTCAAGGATTTCGAGGTTGGTATCAAGGAAATAGAATGCACCTCAGAAGGAAAATTGGGATATCTACCTGTATTTCGATCGGGAAGTTGTGCTGAGATAGGACCGAAGCAGTACATGGAGGATGAACACATCCGGATAGATAATTTATTGGAGTATCTGGGAGAATCTTCTAGTGTCACTTCTCCTGGAGCGTTTTATGGAGTACGTATCGTGTGTGTTTGTGTGTGTGTGTGTATATATATATATATATATATATATATATATATATATATATATATGCTTCTCACTAGCAATGCTACTTTAATTATTAATTTTAATATGTTTTGAAATATTTTAGATTTTTTAAAATTGAAAGATCAACCAAATATGCAATGGTATCACTTTACAATTCGTTCTTAGAAACATTCTATTTACCAAGATGTAGACAAGGCTCTCCAAAGTCATCCTCTTGAATCCCTCCAAGACCCACATACAAACAGACCCTTAGAGGGATACAATGTCGTAAAAGCTTTAGAAGAGCTTTATTTACATTGTGAAATATTTTAGCTTAATTTAGTGGTATAAAAAAACCTCCTTTATTCACATACCTTTTGATAGGTTACAAGTAGTTATGTATGTATGCATGTATGTGTGTATGTGTGTGTGTGTGTCTTGCAGAAGTTAAATGATGAATTTGGTTATATTTGGAAGGTTTTTGATGGGCATGGAGGAACAGATGCAGCATTGTTTGTTAGGAATAATATTCTCAAGTTTATATTAGAGGACTCTTTTTTCCCAATTTGTTTGGAAAAGGCAATCAAGAATGCTTTTCTGAAAGCTGATTATGCCTTTGTTGATGATAGCTCTGTCGATACATCTTCTGGCACAACTGCACTCACTGCTCTCTTATGTGAACGGTTAGTGCGTTTTTGCCTCTTGATTTTCTTTCTAATCGTAATTCTTGAAATCTGTTATAAGATTTATTGAGCGCAACATACTTTATACTCCACTATGCTTGATTAAATGTATGAATGATGATAAGAAAATGTTTCATTATTGTTTGGCATGTGAGTTTCATTATTTTTCATCATTGTAAAGACATGATATAACACATCATATGTAGTATAAAAAAAATGAGAAATTACCCAAAACAGGACTAAAAACGTCTGTATATTCCAAAATAGGACTATCATGTCTTTATTCTCAAAATAGAACTTATTACTGTCATGTTTTGGCAGTACAAGACTTTAAACATGGCAGTATTTTCCAAACTTGACAGTAATTACTCCTATTTTGGGAATAAAAACTTGACAGTCCTATTTTGGAATTTTCAAACTTCTTTACTCCTATTTCGGGAATTTTCCCTATAAAAATATTAGTCCTTGTGTCTCAATTTGCTAGATCTACTTTCCTTCTTTGCTCGTCCCAAAATAATGTTACTTTCTTAATTTAAACTCCACTGTTTTTTCTTTATTTTCCTGAATTATCCTTTTTATCTATCCTTTTACCCTTTTACTTGATCAGCCACATGCATCTTTTTTTCTTAGTCAAAAGGGGAAATTGTAAAATAACTAACATCTATATTTTTTGTTGTTTCAAACCTAAATACCTCCGCATTTTAGGACAGAATGGAGTAATTGATTTGCTCAACATGTCAAAGTACTACTTGTATTTCGAAACAAATCTGACTAAACTAGACAGGCCTTTGATGAAAAATGAAAATTATCAGTCTACCCCAACCCATACCTCACAGTGCTGTGTGGCTTTCATAATTTCATCAAGTTTCATTTTTTCTAATGTAATCCCATCTCCTAAACAATGCATTTTTAGTCCATTCTTGAATGCCATCACTAATTGTATAAACTCAAAATAGGTTGTCAGTTGGTAGTCAAGCTTCGTCCTTTAATAAAACAGATCCTGAAATTACTTGTCTATTCCACAGACCATCTTCTCTTGCGAGACTTAAACTCACACTCTAATCGTAACACATAGTACATCACCACCACATAGTATATCACTACTATTTGGAAATAAATTAGAAGTTACTGCGGAAATACATGAAGTAATTTTATATAAACGGTTTCATAGGAAGGGGGTGAGGGGGGCGGTAGGGGTATTGAAACAATAGATGTTGAGAGGGATGATCAAACCCCTAACTAGTAACCACTAGGGCATGCTTCATTCCCAGAAAATGCGATGGAGGTGGAAAGAAAGCCAAGGGAAGTCAGTTTCTTGTGTTATGTTTTATCATGGAAAATGCAACTGGGTAAAAAATAACATACGAGTACAACACATCCAAGCCTTAGTCCCAAAACAAGTTGGAGTCGGCTAACCTGAATCGATATATGAAATCGGAGTTAAAAAAATAAATAGATAAAAGTATAACATAAGACAAAAATGGTAAGATAAATATAAGATAAAGACATGATAAAGATAGAATAAAATGAAAAAAAAATTAAAGAAGATAAAGAAGAGGGAAAAAAATAAAAAAAGATGAAATAGAGTACCATACACACGTATATTCTCCCTCCATTTCACTGTCTCCAAAGTCATACTTGACCCTTTAATTCACGTTTGTTTTGAGTCTTCCTCTCCCCTTCCCCCGGAAATATGAGTAATGTCTTAAAAGTTTACAGTTTCTTCAGATTGGAATTTATTCAATTCAAGCTCCAGAAGATACGTTGAAAGACAGAAGTATCGGTCTAGAACTCGAATGATTGAAAAATATAAATCAAGGAGCTAAAATATCACAGGTTTTGATTTACTCCGTATTTAATTGCTAATTTTATTTATTTTTTTACAATAGTTCATTAGTTTAATAAATATTTATATAAAAAAATAAAATTCATAGTAGTTTATGTCATAGATTGATAGTTTTCAACCAATCAACCAGTCGGGCGGGTCATATATCGACAATTATCACTTTTAAGGTTCTTGGTTAATAGTTAATTTATCTTTTAGAATTTCATAGACTTTATGTAATTCTCCCTCCGTCCCATAATTTACTCATGTTTTGACTTTGCATGGAGATTAAGAAAGTAGGAATTGTGTGGCCTAAAGTTGTACAGATGAGAGAGAAATGCTATGGACTACATATTCTTTGTCAAAAAAGGAAAAATGATTTTATATTGGGACGAGTAAAAAAGGAAAGAATGGAGTTTATTTTGGGAGAGAGGGAGAAGTAAATAGATACGTAGTACAATAAACGTTTTTTGCTAACATTATCTTTCCGTCCATGATCGTTTTCCATATATTTTTTCATACCTAATCTAACATCATCTTGATTCCCAAACGGACCCTTTCAATTGGTGCGGTGCAGGAGATTGGTGATTGCAAATGCGGGGGATTGCCGGGCAGTTCTGGGTAAACGGGGAAGAGCTTATGAGCTGTCGAAGGACCACAAACCAGACAGTGTGCCAGAAAGGCGGAGAATAGAAAAACTGGGAGGTGCTATATATAACGGCTACTTGAACGGCCAACTGTCGGTAGCGCGTGCCTTGGGTGACTGGCACATGAAGGGTCCGAAGGGGTCGGCGTGTCCGCTGAGTGGTGAGCCGGAGGTGCAAGAGACCATGTTAAGTGAGGAGGACGAGTTCCTAATCATGGGCTGTGACGGTCTGTGGGACGTCATGAGCAGTCAGTGTGCGGTCACAATGGCGAGAAAGGAACTCATGGCCCACAACGATCCCGAGAGGTGCTCCAGAGGGCTTGTGAGGGAAGCCCTTAAGCGCAACACGTGTGACAATTTGACGGTCATCGTGGTTTGTTTCTCACCTGATCCTCCACCCCATTTCGAAACATTGGGCAGAGCCCGTTGACTTGCTGAAGGCTCAAATGCGGCTCTTATTAAAGGTGGCGCGGCTGCTGTCATGATGTGAATTGACTATTAGTTATTGTTGCCTTGTTGAGTTGTTGGACTTACTCGCTTCTCCTTTCTGTCTGTAGTGGGATGGACTTCTCTTGTATGTATAATTGTAGAATGGATTTTTTCTTTCTTTTATGTATAGATAGAAGATGAAGGCTCTTGATCATATGTACTCCGTAGTTTTTACCGTCAGCTTTTGCAGTTCCCTAATTTCTCCATCCTCTAAGCCTCTGAGATAGGGGTGGACCCAGTCGGCGGTCCCGGACCAGAACCGGGCCCGCTACTGTGCTGGACCGGGCCGGATCCAGTTTTCCGGTCCCGGTCTTGGACCGGGTACCCGACTGGGTATTTCCGGACTCGGTCCCAGGTTAGCCAAATGGGGACCGGACTGGGTGGTCCTGTTTTTGGTCCCAACGGCTAAAATCTTTTTTTTAAGGGAAAACTGTCAAATAGGTCCTCGAACTTTCATAAAAAGGTCAATTAAGTCCTTCTATAGGAGGTTCTGTTCGACCGTTGCGATTTGGGGCAGTTCTTGGTGGAATTTTTTGATGAAATTTTTTGAGCATCTTATTCACCAAGTCTAGTTTACTCATACCAAAGTTCAGCTAAAAATTCAATCGGGAACACATTCAAATTAATTCTTGAAGATAACTGCGCATTTTTGTGTTCTCGAATTACTTTGAATACGTTCCCGATTAATTTTTTAGCTGAAATTTGGTATGAGTAAACTAGACTTGATGAATAAGATGCTCAAAAAATTTCATCAAAAAATTCCACGAGGAACCGCCCCAAATCGCGACGACCGGACAGAGTCTTCTATAGAAGGACTTAATTGACTTTTTTATGAAAGTTCGAGGACCTATTTGACAGTTTTCCATTTTTTAAATAATTTATGGAGGGGGAGAGGGGGGGGGGGGGGGGGGCAATACTAGCCGTTCCAAACGGCTATAAGGCCGTCAGAGAGGGGGTTTGGGGGCGGGGGTTATCAATTTTTTTTTCCTATATATATTTACTCATTTTATACATTTTTTCACACTATTCCACTTCTACTCAAATTCTATACTCTCTATTCTCAAACTCCCAATCACTAATTCTACTATATTCACATTTACACTTTCATCTTTCATAATTCATATATTCATATTATATTTATGTACTTATGAATTATTACACAATAATACTATATAGATATTTATAATTTCTATTTCTACATTCCTACTCTTACTCTTTCAATCTTTCTTATTAAATATATTATATTACAATTATGATTATATACTCCTACACTTTCGTATTTAACATATATATTTAATTATATACATTTGTAGTTAAGTAGTTCCTACATTGTTGTAGTATACTAGTTATTACTTCCTACATTTTTGTTAATTACTTCCTACATTATTTCTCATTGTATAATTAAGTAATTGTTATACATTAATATTACTATATATATATATATATATATATAAACGAAATATAAACAATATATCTAATTTAATATATATATATATATATATATATATATATATATATATATATAATACACAAATAGGGGTGAGATCACATACAAACCATGTTTAACTTACTAACCTACAAACTCAATAATATGCAACACTTTGAACTTCAATATGCAGTACAAATAATGTAGAGATGCACTCTTTGAATTTCAATATGCACTACAAATAATGTAAATATGAAACTGCTATTTTATGGCTTGAATAATATGAAACACTTTGAACTTCAATGTGCAATACAAATAATATAAAGATGATTTGAATGGGAGGACTGGTTTGTATGTTATTCAACCCCTACATTTTTACATTATATGTACCGCATATTGAAGTTCAAAGTGATGCATATTATTGAGTTTGTAGGTTAGTATTTTAATCATGATTTGTATTTGATCTCTTATCCACACACACACACACACACACACACACACACACACACACACACATATATATATATATATATATATATATATATATATATATATATATATATATATATATATATATATATATATATATATATATATACCTCTGTTCTAAAAATCGTTCTAGGCGTCCGATTAGTCCCCGTCTAACCGCCTAAGCGCTAGGCGTTGGGCTGGCGCTCGAGTAGCACCTAACGCCTTTGAGAACATTGATATATACATATTAAACAATATATATAGGTAATTGTATACATTAATATATATATATATATATATATATATATATATATATATATATATATATATATATATATATATATATATATATATACTATAATCATTAATAGTCGAAATTTATTTAGTTGGTAATATTACAAATTGTAGTTAGTATAGTAGTTAAATTGTAGTTGTTGTTAAATTGTGTTGGTCCCGGTTATATTGGGTACAGTCTAGGGGGGGTGAATAGACTGTACTGGTTTTAAAACTTTTTAAGCTAAATACCAGATTTAACAGAATAGCCTGTTCGTTTTGCAGAACAGACTGGCAGCGGATGAGGTTCTGGTAGGGGTTCTGTCAGATTAGCCTCAGAGAAGCAAAGGCAGTAGGCCTTTTGTTAACTCACAAGACACGTTCTGCTGAACACAGAGACCAAGTCTTAGGAGTTAAACAGTTCAAACAAAAACGATAAATAAGTGCAGTAAGTAAATGACACCAGGGATTTTTATAGTGGTTCAAGGAACAACTCATTCCTCTAATCCATTGTTCCACTAAGCTTGTAAAAACGTCCGTTTACAACGCCTTAGTCCTAGGACTTAAGAAGCTCTCCACGTCTTCTTCAAGTCCAGATGTCTCCTGGAATGCACTTCCTGACTTCCTTTAAGACTGATCCTTTCGCTGAGCTTCCCGGAAGTATCACCAATTCACTGCTCCAGTTACTTGGACGTCCTTCTCGTTAAAGAAGAGTTTCTAAATGAAACAGGGGCTCCTCGAACTTGCTTCGTTACAAAGAATGTATCAGTTGAAGTGCTTGAAGTGTTGAAGAACAAATGGAACTTTGCTTGAGTTGGAAGATAAGAATCTTTCCAAAGTCTGCCTTCTCTTGTAGAGGATGATAAGGATTTTATCTCAAGGAGGCTTGTGCGTTTTAGTGTTTGAATGTCTGTATTCGCACTGTTGTTGCAAAAGTTATCTTGGTTGTTCTTCGTAAAGTATCTTTTATACTGAGGTTGTCTTCCCGTTAGAGGAGGAGGACAACTGCATTAAATGTGTGAGCAGTTGACTTGACCAGTAGACCCCAACAAAGTTGGCGGGTTACTATTTTGGGATAGAGTTATCCTGACATTGCGGCCAATCATCTGCATTTACTCTACAGAGTACGGGAGGCATTAAATGTGCATTTAATGCGTGTACTATAGCTTTTCCTTTCAAGACTCCTAGCCGTTGAAGGAATCTTCAGTTGGTTTACCGGCCTGGTAAAATTCTCTAAGTGTCAGGCCTTCTGGTGTCTTCAGCAGAGAGTCGATCAGAGAAGGTTTTGAGCACTTCTGTTGGAAAAGGCAATCAGAGAGTCTTGAGGGTTTCTGTTGAAGAAATGTTCAACAGAGAACCAGGAGGGTTTCTGTCCGTGTAAAGGCTAACAGAGACCCAGAGGTCCTCTGTTCTGAAGCAGAGAGCCAAAGGTCCTCTGTTAGGACAAAGCCTATCAGAGGGTCTTCTGTCAGGAGGTCTTCTGTTCTGGAGGTCTTCTATCAGTCGACTATTCTAAGGAACTTTACAAGGAAAATTTCTAATGCATTAAATCTAAAGAAGGGGTACTCTAAAGTCCTAATTAATATAACATCATCAAAATCTAATTACAATTATTCTTTACAATTTCCCCCCTTTTGATGATGCCAAAACCCTTTAACTATTTCCAGAGAAGTGCCTTCACCATAAAAGAGTTAAAGTTTAAAACTTTCATTAAAATCTTGGTGGGCAACTTGGCATAGGAAAATAGTAAGAGTACAGTATAATCAGATAGCACATAATAATCAGGAAAACAAACACACAATCATAATCAGAGAAAAGAGACAGATATGAAGGAATTGCCTTACAAAGTGAAAGGCAGAGATGTACTTTTATGAATTGATTACAAAAGTGTTCTCTTACAAGTTCTCCCTTTCAGCTGCAGCTAAGGCTTGATCTTCCAATTCTTGTAATCTTTTTAGCTCAGCATTAACAGCTTCTCGAATTCCTACAAGATTCCCTGAGCTCTGATGTGAGGCCCAGATAGGTGAGAGCTTGCAATCCAGATAGCTGAGAACACCTTCATGAATGTCCTTTCCGGGGAGAATTTTGTTGAGGTACCAAAACTCAGCTTCTTCCAAGGTGTCACCATGTCTGACCTTCACCAGACCATCTTTGTCAAGATATAGATTCTGCTGCTGCATTGGGGTCATCTTCTCCTTCATTTCCTCAAACTGATTTTTTATCAATTTTTTGAGAGCCACCCAATCTTCATTCTCTGAAATTCAAGGCCTTCTTCTTCTTGGTGCCCTTCTTGAGAGGAGATGGGGGTCTCTGAATGCCAGCTAGCCTCTTCTTCTGAATGACAGCTTCAAAATATGGTGCAGGATCAACAATTGGGTCAGCAGAAGATGATGCTCTGACAGAAGTCCTGGTAGGGCGAGGCTTAGGGTGATGAGGGTCTTCTTCCCCCTTTTTGGAATCATCCAGATCGCCAATCATCAAGGAAAGCTTCTGGAACTCTGACGCTTGAGTAGAAGCAATCTGTTCAAGCGTTTCTGGAAGAGTTTGAGTAACAGAGGTCAGGCCCTCTATTAATCCTTGCTGCTTCTGAATGGCAGAGAGTATATTTTTGTTACTGGCTTCCAGAAGTACCATTTTCTGATACCTGTCTTTATCAGCAGCCAGGAGTAACTTGCCTTGGTCAGAATGTTCCTTGCAGAGAGTGTGGAGATTCTTGAGGTTCTCTTGGAGTTGGATATCAGACCTCTGTAGTGATTGAACAGCTTCAGTGAGGGTTGTAATGGAGGTGTGCTGAGAGTTGAGAGTTTGATTCATGGCAGATAGAACTGTCTTGACATTGACCACTTCATTCGAGATGGCATCAACCTTTGCATTAGATGAGTTCATGAAGTTCTGCAGGGAGGTTGCCAGAGTATCTGATAGATGCTTGAAACCAGATTCAATGGTAGCATCTACTTGGGTCAGATGTTCGAAATGTTTATCATTGATCAGCACAAGCTTGTTCATTCCTTCCAGCATCTGTCCA